TGTCTGGTCTTCCAAGGGATATGGAGGAGGAGGTCCTGTCTAGGGTTCCGGTGATATCTCTGGGAGAAGTGCGATCGACTTGCAAAACGTGGAGCACTTTAACGAAAGATGAGAGCTTTGTAATTGTAGCAAAGAAGAAGCAGAGGAAGCAGGGAATTGAGGTGGTGATGATGGTGGAACATAGAGCTTCGTTGATGAGCGTCGATCTCCTCTCACCATCTATAGAGCGTATAGGTAATATCAATTCAAATGGAGTCAAGATATCTCAGATCTTCCACTGCGACGGTTTATACTTATGCCGCATCACCAAATACAACCAACACTCCTTTAGGCTTCTTCTTTGGAACCCTTTTTTGGGACAGACAAGGTGGATCGAACCCACCAGTTATTACCACGAATGTGACAAGTTCGCTCTCGGATTCGACAAGGAGAAGAAGGAGCACAAAGTCTTGAGATTTCTGCATAATAACGAGCGGAGTATCAGGAACCGAGTTTGTGAGTTTGAGATGTACAGTTTACACTCTCATTCATGAGGTCATTTATGATTTCACTTGGGAACCGGAACCGGACTGGTTTATTCCGCCTTATCCCCGTGGCTTGACTCTAAAGGGCAACACTTACTGGTATGCTCAAGCATTAGATGGTCCATCAAAGATATTCGATAGACCCGATTTCCTACGCTGCTTTGATTATACAAGTGAGAGATTTGGACCGCGTCTGCCTCTGCCTTTCCACGGTGTCTTTCGAGATATTATCAGTCTCTCTAGTGTTAGAGAAGAGCAGCTTGCGGTGCTATTCCAGGAACGGGCTGCACCTGCAATGACCGTCAAGATATGGATTACTAGTAAGATTGAGCCCAATGCAGTGTCGGGGAGCAACTTGTTCTTATCTGTTGATATGAATCCACTCATTGATATTCCGTTTGCTGCTACCGCTGCGAGTTTCTTTCTTGACGAGGACAACAAGGTCGCGGTGGTTTTTGATAAAGACATATGTAAATCTGMCCCCCCCCCCCCCCACCCGCAACATTGCTCACATCATTGGAAATAATGGATACTTCAAACAAGTGGATCTCGACGAATCTAGAGACAGAGTCTGCAGGCCGCTTGTGTGCTCTTATGTTCAAAGCTCGGTGCAAATCGCACCACCCTAATCTCTATTATTCATTTCTATTGTCCTCTTTCTTTTCTCATCTTGGAGACCATTGATTTCTATCTCGACAATTGTTGCTATGCTTTCTTATTTTCTATTTTGTTCATTTTGATTACAAGAGATGATTCATTTTCTTCTTTGTAAGAAATTCCATTACTTTTGCCCCCATTGACCAGAGGGCATAGAGCAAATAGAATTGGTCCTTTCTCTTTGTAGACGATTGTAATGTGCTCTCTTCTGCTGGAACAAGCCAAGTTGAAGATAGTATACTTTCTGCTTACCGTTGCCAAAGTTAAACCAGAGATCAGACCTCTCGTTCCGGGTTTCCAAGTTAGTTTTGTTTAGAGATGCATTTGTTAGAGCCATATTGCATTGGCAGTATCAAAACATATGCATAGAGGACACAATTCAATATTAAATAATCCTTACAATACTATCAGCCAAAGGCAAAGGCTCGCTCGTGTTTATATTTGTGAAGATGGACCTGTCGCTACTAGCCAGGTAACAACTTAATCATCGTCCATGGGTTGCGTTTTTAGCACCAATGCCTGTTTCTCCATGTGTTTAAAGGTATGTAGTACTGAAAAATGATATTATCTGTACTATTTACATGATATTATCTGTTTCCGATTTACATTATTCGTCCGTATACAACAAACACACGAACAACATTTCACCATAATACTTAGCACAAGTGTATTATACTCTCTTTGTACGAAAACACCTTAGGGCAAAGCTCAAGCATTCACGACAAGACCACCATGAAAATTTGATATTTATATCGAAATCCAATGGAAATTAATGGAAACTTTTCCCTTTTCCTTGTATATATATATACGTTCCCTCAAGTTGACTACAAATTTTGTGACAAAAAGACTCAATTCCATTGAATATTCTCTAAACCGGAATTACGAAGAAAAAAAACAAAAATTCCGGTTTATACAGAATCCAATCGGTTTACATTGAATACGTGTCTTGGCCAATCACACTACACAGACGATTACTAATTAGAAAATCAACTAGTATTTCTCCCGTGCTTCGCACGAGAGTATAAAATGTATTTATAATAAACTTTTTTATTAAAAAAACGTTTTAAACATCTGATAAGTGAATTTTGGTTATTAAAAACTAATGGTTTTATTTTCTTTGTATTGAATGTAAAGTACTGGAGTTTTCTCAATGAAATGTCCTTTTCTAAGTTAAAATGATTTTAAATAAATGTGAAATTTTTTACTTTTGCAACATCTTATGTAAAATAGGTTTTGGAATTTATGGATTCATCTGCCTAATAAATGACTAATTAACAATTAAAATTTAGATTATAGAACAATTTTGAATTTG